ATGAGACTTTGGGGATGGAATGTTATGGTTTGTATCTAGTTGTCCCCTCCAAAGCCTCATGTAAATCATGGGGCAGTCGCAGCTTGAGGAGCAGCCTGTGGCTAGTGGGACAGGGCCTGAGGGCCAGGGCGGGGCTTTAGGAGTGGGGCCAGAGAGGAGCAAACCCCTAAACTGACAGCATGCACCTCCCTACCCCCTCCTACAGGCCTGGTGGCCTGTCTTGGAGGTGGAGAGTGTCATTCTGGACACAGCAGTGCCCTAGCCTCTCCTGCAGTGTCTTGAAACCTCCAGTAACTATGAGCTAAATAAAACTTTCCTTTCCTCATTTTGAATGTCAGGTATTTGTCCTAGCAATAAGAGAAAAGTAATTAAGACACTTCCACAACACATATACCATAACTCCCATTAAACTTATTGGTCAAAGAGAGACAGAGCCAGGCCAAACTTGATGAACAAGGAAACAAATGTTCACTTCTGGATTAGTGGAACTTCAAATATTTTGTAGTCAAATTTAATCTGTTCTAGTGTTGTAGAAACAACTTCCTATTAAAGAGATTTCCTAATCGCTTTTGGAAGAATTTCCTTATTTCTAGAATGTAATAAATGATGTGCAAAGGGACTAGGGAGATAGCTCAGTAGAATAAGTGCTTGCCTGGCAAGCTCACTGGTCTGAGTTCAAACCCCGGTTCCGCTAAAAATAAATAAATAAAAATATGCAAAGAGATTATCTTTCAGGAAATGGAACCAGATTTCTCTACCAAATGCTATTATTTCCATTTATATGGTCAAGGTCACAAACTCCAATGCCTCAGTGCCACAAAGGTAATAAACCTAACTGGGATGGGCCAGCTCAAGTTTAGGATAGCCTAGAATATATTGCTAAGTTTAAAATGTTACCGTGAGTTATTTAGGGGGCAATATAAGTCCAAGATTGTTAAGACTACTGATATTTTAAAATAAATACAAGAATCCTAGAAAGTTATTTTTTGGACTTCAACAAACTTATTCTATAGTTTACACAATTAAAAGATCCAGACTACTGAGTATAACTGAGAAAGAAGCTAAGAGTCAGACAGCAGGTTCTATCCAACCTCAAACATCCCATTGCAGTTTGCAGAGTAGCAAAAGTATACCCAGAGCAAGGGAATTGATCTCAGAGATAGATCCACACAAATATAGCCAATGACTTTTTGACAAAGAAACAATTTCAGTCCAGTAGAGATATGATGTAGAAACAATTCAAGGTCTATATGCAAAAAGGGAAAACCAAAACCAAGACAAAGCACTAGATAAATATCTTACACCTTTATGCTTTTAAGACACAAACCTCACTATAAAAGTGCAAGACTAGAATACTTTTAGAAGATAACATAGGAAATATAAGTGATCTTGGATGTAATAATGAACTTTAAGGTACAACATCTGAAAAAAAATCACAGAAGAGAAAGAATTGCTCTTAGACTCTATTAAAATTAGAAAATTGACCCAGGAGACAGCTCAGGGGCATCAATGCCTAACTGGCAAGTGCAAGGTCCTGAGTTCAGTCCCTGATACCAAAATTGAATTAAAAAACATTATTCTCTTCAAAGACCACTTTTAATAGAACAAAAGGACAAAGGATGAGAAAATATTTCTGTAACACACATCTGATAAAGAATTCTTACGCAAAATACACGATGATCTCTGGATATTCAATGGTAAGAAACAAAACATTTAAAAAAATAACCGAATCAATCCCTGGTTCCACAAAAAAAAAAA